ATGTGAAAAGTACACAGTGGTGGCTCCATAGAATCATGCAAGGGCAAGGGGCCACCCTTGTAGGAGATTTAATCAGCGTTTGAAATAGCTTAGAAAACCTTTTGACTTTATCACTTTAAATGCGTTGGGTTTTTTAAGACAAGCATTGAAAGCACCTAAATTTGACTTTGTATCAGCATCTTGCAGAAGGAAAGAGAGATCATCAGTTTGCAGATTCTCCTTCCTGTCCAATCACAGGTGGGAGTTGGGAGGAGACCTGTAAGTATTAGTGGACTGCAGAAGAAGGAAAAAATCAGGTCTCCTGCCCTATCAAACAGGGCTGTGCCATGTGGCAGGGCTGTGTAGGTCTCAGAAATGGATGGACATAAATACAAATCCTTTAAAACGTAAAACAGCTCAAGTAAATTTATTTAATTTATGTATTTAGCTCAGCAGTAAAGCCCAACTCCAGGCATTTTGTGTGATTAAATGGGTCCCCAGGCAAAGAACATAATACAAAAGCAGCTCAGGCTGCAAACTCACTGTCAATCTGAAGTTGTCACCTGTGGTACTTTTTGCCACAGGTTGCCCTCAGTCTTTTTGGCTGAATGACTCTCAGTGTACTATGAATACAGGGTGTCATGGCCCCATCCCCTACAAAGGCACTCTTTATTCAAAGTCATGCACTGACTGGTGTTGAAATCACATTATCGCCACCCTCAGCATCTCCGAGGACCTTCCACCCATGGTGGAATTCAGGAGAGAAATAAGACTCAGGGTGGCATGTCAGCAGCTAGAAAACATCTGAAAAACATATGTATATAAAAAAAAAAATAAGATAAAAACCACTGGAGGAGGGGGGAAACATGAGGGGGCCTTTGGAGAGGAGGGCAAAGAGCCCAGAGATGGGCTTTAAATCTATAGGAATCATTGCTATATTATCCACAGGCTTTATTGTTAAGGGATGTTCTAATTTTCATTCTTTATCATTTGGCAATGTAACCAGTACAGAGGAGAACATCATTATCTTAAGGACTACCTGTCCCTAGTATTTTGAATACTATAAAGTGCTGATCTGAAACACATATGCCGAGGTGGAGTTCTGACTTTAGTTTAAGTTCAGTTGCTGCATACTTGTTGCAGATCAGTGACTTAAGATATTAAATCCAGAAACTCCTAGGCAATGGCAGCCTACATATTTCTGTCTGCACACGTTTCCTTTAACAGACAATGATTTGCCTAGAAAAGGGAGTGGCTTGTAAGTTCTGGCATAATTGTTGTGTTGGGACCGTGCTGATAATTGTTCCTATGTTATGATACCATGAGAGAAAGAGAGAGGGAGGGACTCGTGGAGGTAGATTTTTACAACAGAAAGATTTTTGTCATTTTACAAGTCATAAAGGTATGCTTAACAGAAACAGTGGTAGCACTACAATATTTAAAGATTGTAATCTTCCACAATGAGGATCAGAAGCTTTAACAAAGAGCCAGTAAGCATACTGCAGAGAGCTTAAACCACACTGGTATAATCATCTCTATTCAGTCTCAGGCCGGTCTATTCAGACATGACGCCGCGACCCACTGCAGAGGGTGTCGCGACCCACTTTTGGGTCGCGACCCACAAGTTGAGAACCACTGTTCTAAAGGGTAAGAGATTTTTTTACTATCAGCCATTCAAGGTTATCGCAAAACCCCTTATAACAAAAAGCATTCTGCACAGAATTCTATCATTTTGTACTTGAGATGTAGGCAAAAACATATTACACAAAATGCATATAGTTTGTCAAATCTTTTAAGAAAAAAGGTATGCTTCACTGTGCAGAACAGAACATCTGGAAACAAGGAAAGCCAAATACCTCATTAGGAACATTGTATAAAGAATTTAGATGCAAGATCCATGACCTAAGCTTTTTTCCTCACAAGCATTGAGATCACAAGAGTGCCTTGTCTGTGTGACTGAACACCTAATGGATTATTTCAGATTCCTCACAGAGACAGTTACAGAAGTTGAGCCTTGCTGCTAGCCAGCTTTCATCAGAAAACTTTTGCAGTGATAAAAAAAAAAGAACTTTTCATTACCAACCTAGTGCTTGGCAAGCTGTTTACTATGGATGGAAAGCACAGGTTCAAATGCTCTTCCAAATTTTGTGACCTAGATAGTTACAAATATTAATGGAGAAGCCCTGGTAGGACATAGCCAGAAATTCTTAAATTAATCACAAATGTTTCTCCAATGCTGATTGTTTTACAGACACTTCAACAGCTGCTGACAAACACCATGTCAACCTAGCTTGAAAGAGCCATCTGCCTGGCCGAGAAAGAAGATAAGCAACCCCTTATCTGAAAAGCGTGAGAGCTTTAAAGAGCTAAACAACAACTCTTTCAGTTTAAAGCAGGCACATATGATGTAACATCTGATCAAATACCACATGACAGAGTCTAATCAAAATAGCATTTGCCCTCTAAAAGATTACATAGTATCTCAAAAAAAATGCTGGCATGCTGTATTATGTAAAATGTGTACTGAGGTGCCATACACAGTCCAAAAAGTTAATTGTTGGAAAATAATGTTTTCTGGTAAAATGTTACAAAATATATGACAGTGTCTCTCTCTTTCTCTATCCGCATATTTTTATGTAGAATACAAAACAAACAGAGACACAGGAATAGATCTAATAGTGTGATTTCGTTTTATTCAAGTAGTATTAAACTCTAATTTTTTAAAATAATGAATCCAATTCAAACAAATACATGGCACCTTATTTTAAAGCTAGTTATGAACCGATAAGTGCGTTTGCCATTTGCTTCACTTGTTACATCATCGTATGGCACATCACAGGAAATGAAGTATGTCTGCCATTGGGCAAGCTGACCTTTGCACTCCTATGTTGATGCATTTTTGAAAAGCGGTCTAATTAAATCTACTGAGAACTAAAAAAAAGCAGCAAGTGTCGGTAGCAATTTTTCCAGTTGACTTAGAAAATGTATAGGATGCTGTGAAACTTTACTGAAGCTGTATGTTTGTGCTTTATGAATATAGCAAGTATAGGTCATGTACTCTTTCATAGATAATAGTCCCCTGTGTCTGCCTCATGAATGGAGATTTGCAGCCTAGGGACATACAGAAAGATAATTTGTTTTTAGCTGAGAAAAATATGAAAAGGTAGCTTAAAGTCTAAAGTAAGACATTACTTCAGTTGTAGAAGCACAGCCTGGATACCATTAAATATAGCTCAGTTTCCAGATCACTGCATACTTCTATTGTTTGCAATCATTTTCTAAAGCATGATATGCAGTAAAATGAAAATCCAAACAATCTGTAGTTTGGACCATGACATGTAAAGGAGATAAAGCTACTGTTTCCTGATCATTTGAAGAACCTGAAAAAAGTTTGCTACACATCTTAGTGTCTGTATACCCAAAATCTATTTTTCAGTATGTTTGGCATTATGCCTCACTGTATACAGTAAATCTACTGCAAAGTTTTTTTACCTGGAGATCCTGCCAGCATTTTCTATGACAATGCTAAGTCAGTGCCTCTCAAATAGCAATAGCACTATCCATCAGATAGACAACCCAATAGCCAACGAAAAGAGCTTGCACCGCAGGCTGACAACTGGGCTTCTAATTGTCTATCTGCAATAGGAAGTGCTGTCACTGCTAGGATCTATAGATGAGAACTTTTACAACAGTTTCACAAAAAAGATTGCTTTAGAAAACTGTATACAGTGAAGCAGGGTGCCAAACATACAGAAAAATAAATGTTAGGTTCATGATCACTTTAAGACACATGAGCAAAATTCTTTCTGGTATCATGTTATTGTTGAGGCAAAGGAATGCATTTGTAATGTTTTCATTGCCCATTCATTGCACAAAGCAAAACAGACTGTTAATGGCCAAGCAGACAATGTGGCCACAGATCTAAATATTTGGTGGCCTAAATGTACAGCCAAAGTGTTTGGCCCTCAACATGTAAGGCCAGATCTAGCTAATAGGTGCCCATTGCAGAATATACAGGGAACTACCAAAGTGGTCATGTGAACACTGAATATTTGGGTAACCACAGCCCTCTTACCATCACATCGATAATAACCTGAGAATTTACAGTATATCTGCTCTACAAAACACATTTTCTGCAGATTCAAATCCATGTAATTTTCCATTTTCTACACCTTTATTTAGATTTACCATAAACAGGCAGATAAAATGTCCAATATTGCAAAATGTTTGTGACCACCTTGTTTTTATCATCATTGTGAGGCTATTGTTTCTCAACTCAACAATGCACAGCTACCTCCTCATGTATCACTTGCCCCTCCCTTTTAGATTGTAAGCCCTCACGGGCAGGGCCCTCCTTACCATCTTGTCTTGAATTGTACTGTCTTCCTTATATTGTAAAGCGCTGCGCAAACTGTTGGCGCTATATAAATCCAGTAAAATAATAATAACTTGTATGATTCTTCATCAA